AGGTGGTCTATTCTGGTCGCGTCTATGGTAATTGTAACCATAGATTGGGTTTGCGATGTTAGGCTAAGAGTTCGATGGTGATTTTTTGACCAGCCTGAGGAAGAAAACCAGTCGAATTCTGTAATAGTGACCGACGACGCCATAAGCACAGAGGAGACGCTAGGCTGAGGTTGGTCTGTTGGGCCATTTTTTTCTTCCCTTTTATTTCTTTTAGCCACTATAGGGCTTGAGTTGATTATTTGTTGGGCTTACTCTATTTTTAATTATTGGGCCTGTTGATGTGGATTAATTATTGTTGGGATGTTGATGTTCGTTTGTGTACTTCTTTAATTTTGGGCCGTTGATGTTGGTGTGATTTTGTTGGGTTGATTTGTGGATAATATCATATCATGCAAGATAGGGATATTCAATCTGAGTAAATCTATGACACCTAAAAAGTTGAATGAAAGAAATTACACTTATTGACGTAGGTTTGTCGAGATCTTATTGCGAGGTAAGGGTTTATTTAAATAATTAATTTTAGACAAGCTATCTACCAAATCCTCAAAAAGTGACTTTGTAAAGACTGATTCTATTCACAACAATCGGTGGGATCAAGTAGTGGTCGTTTGGAAAATCATGAACCTTGAAAATGTACTCACAGTGGTCGTACATGTTACTCCATTGATTATTGTTGGGTCTTACATGATAAACCATCTGATTCTGTCAATCGGGTCTCGTCTAATGAGGACCATCACCCAGTATTTGAACCGGTTACTAACTCTAGCTCAACATAAGGATCTGACCTCTTAATTTTACCACGGATGAGTATGCTAAGTTTTTTACTCACAAATAGGCCACTTCCACTTCAATGGCCACACTTGCTTAGTCAGTACTACATCTTCTTACTGTCTATTGTCATCCTCTCATAATTCATGGTTTATCAATTTCAGTATAACTGAACACATGACGGATTCGTCTACTTCTTGACTATCATCCTGTTACTTCTTCCACACGTGTCACTCTTGCTAACGGTTCCTAAACTAGTGTTGCAAGCTCGGACAATGCCCATCCTAGTCCTAATATTAATCTGTCGAATGTTCTTCATATTCCTGGCTTTCCCTGTAATTTATTGTCTATTAGTAAAATTATTGCATCTTTTCAGTGCTATGTAACACTTTATTCCTCCTTATGTGTTGTTCAGATTCTTAAAGCGAAGATGATGATTGGTATGTGGTATGAAGTTGGTGGCTTGTATTACCTGGGGTTTTCATCTGTCTCTCCTCCTCGAGCTCTCTAGTCTTCTGTTTCACTCATGCAGTGACATTATAGTCTTGGTCACCTTTCTCTATCCAATTTAAAACGTCCAGTTGTGAGTTTTCGTAATGTGTGCTCCCTTGAATGTGAAGCTTGTTAGCTTAGCAAATATCACCGTGTGTCTTTTCCTTTATGAAATAGTAGTCATGTTTCTAGTTTATTTGAGTTAATTCATTCTGATATATGTGGACCAATCAATATTTATTCTAATAAATTTCATTTTTTTGTCACTTTTGTTGATGATTATTCTCGTATGATTAGGTTGTTCCTAATGAAAAATCGTTCTGATTACTTTCTATCTTTCAAATCTTTTGTAATATGATCAAAACTCAATTTAACCAAAAAATCCATATTTTGCATTCCGATAATGGTAAAGAATATATATTTCCATCTTTTACTTCCTATTTATCTTCCAAAGGCATTACCTATCAAATATCTTGTGCATATACTCCAAACAAAATGGAGTTGCAGAACATAAAATCGTCATTTATTACATGTTACTAATGCTCTTCTTTGTCATATGTATGTTCCTAAACATTTTTGGAGCGATGTTGTCTTTAATGTATGCTATCTCATTAATCGCATGTCATCCTCCATTTTGGACTGTACATCTCCATTCTCTCTTTTGTTTTTCTTATCTTCACCGTACTCATTACCTCTCAAGGTTTTTAGGTGTGTTTGGTATGTTTATTCTTTTAGTTCTGGTCGTGACAAACTTGACTCTTGCTTTATGAGATATATTTTCCTTGGTTATTCTTAAACATAGAAAGGGTATCATTGCTACAATCATTCTTTGCAACGCTACTTTGTAAGTTTAGATATATCTTTCCATAAGTCTATACCTTATTTCTTTAATCATAGTACATTTCTTGAATCCACTCAAGATCTCGTTAGCTTATTTGTTCCATATCTACTAGTTGGTATTTCTTCGGAATCAGTCTCATCTTCATCTACTATACCAGGGTCATCTTCTTCTCATAAGAAACCACCTCCTTATTTAAAGGTTTATATCCGACGATCTAAGTCACCAACGCCCATGGTCCCATCCGTAGCCTTGCCATCTATAGATCCTGATTCAGTCTTCTGTTCTGATCTTGAGTCATTGTCCATTGCTCTTCGTAAAGATAAATGTACTTGTGTAACTAAATATCCCATCAACCATTTTGTTACTTTTGATTCGTTGTCACCTTCGTTTTCTTATTTCATATCCCAACTTTATAGTGTTTTTGTACCTAAGACAATGGAAGAAACTTTATTTGATCCTGAGTGAAGAAAGACTATGGAATTAGAAGTTGCAACCTTACACGAGAATAAGACTTGGGACCTTGTTCCTTCAAGACCTGGTAAACGTCTTGTTGATAACAGATGGGTTAATGTTTCGAAATTCAATCCTGGTGTGACTGTTGATTGGTTGAAAGCCCAAGTGGTTGCTAAAGGTTACGCACAAATCTATGGTATTGATTATGATGGAACATTCTTTCCAATTGCTAAGATCTATTTTATTCATATGTTTGATTTTTATTGCTGCTAACCTTGATTGTCCACTATTCTAGTTGGATATTACTTGTTTGGTAGGGATTTTAATAATTGATATTTTGACCGTTAAAAATAAGGTGGATCCTACCTGTGAGAGAAAAATTCAAAAATGACGGCTGTAATAGTGAAATAACAGTCAAAAAATTGATTTTAATTGACTTTTTAGCTGTACCAAACAAACTTTAAAAATACATTTCTTCATGGTGGTTTACACGAACAGGTTTATATGGAGTAACTACCTAGGTTTGTTGTCAGGGGGTACCAAAACTATGATTGTAAGTTTAAAAAGGCTTTATATGTGTTAAAGCAATCACCAAGGGCATAGTTTGGAAAGTTTTTTGAGGTTATGCTGAGATTTGGTCTTCAAAGGAGTCAAACAGATCATTCGGTGTTTCATGTACAAACTGGTGCAAGTTGTGTCTTCCTTATATTTTATGTAGATGATATTGTAATCACTGATGATGGTGCATATGAGATTTTCCAGTTGAAACAATTTCAAAAAAAATATTTTCAAAGTAAAGATCTAGGCAAGCTCAAATATTTCTTGCGTATTAAAGTTGCCAAGTTTTGGGCATGTATCATCTTATTTCAGAGAAAATATGTACTTGATCTATTAGATGAGAGGTTTTCTTGGAACTTGTCCAGTTAATACTCCCATTGATCCTAATGTGAAACTTTTGAAGAATAAAAGAGAATCATTAGAACAACTAGGAAAATATTGTCGTTTGGTTAGAAAATTGAATTATCTTACTATCACACGATCAAATATTTCTTATAAAGCCAACAAATTTAGTCAGTACTAGGATGCTTCTCGGGTTTCTCATTGGAAATCTATGCTACACATTATTCAATATTTGAAAAATGTTCCAAGTCTTGGATTATTAAATAAACCAAATGGACATATCATAGTAAAGGGGTTTACAGAACTTCTATTCCCTTGTTTGTAAGGCCATCGTGTTCGGAAGTTGACGATTCTCTACAATGACACCATGGCTTCATAGTTAATCAAAAATTCATTTCCAATTTAATGGAAAAACACTAAAATTTCCTCCCTTTGTGAAATATCGGCGATTAATTTGGAAATGTGTGTGGATATTTAGGTTTTTGTTTCTTAATGTCCAATTAATGTGGCATGTAAGTCATCGTAAATGGTCATATATGCATTTGTTTGTTTTAATGGCCAACTAAGCATGTTCACAAGTCGTCTAACAATGTCTAAACAGAGTACTTTGACTGTAATTAAGTTGAAGTCAAATGATTTGATTACAGCAAATTAAAGTTCCACGACTTGAAGTGAAAGTTCAATGACTATCAATGTAATTAATCCAATTTTTAATATGCAACTGACTAGGAGAATGTCCAAGTAGAGATGGCCACATCTGAAATCGATAGTTTAATTTTGGATTATCTTAGTTGATTGAGATTTGATTAGCTTCGTGCTAGTTAACTAAATCATATATTAAGCAATGGTTCCTATCATGTGGATAAACTGTAAGTAATTAGTCTGAATAGATAAAAAGTTTATTTAACCTGCTTAATTAAAAATTTAACTTTGCAAAAACATGCACTCCACTTGGTAAAACGGTAAAAGAGAGCCCCATTTAATTTCTACAAAAGCTACATTTATCTAGAAAGATGAAATTGAGTTCAATAAAAGTGAGTGATTGGAAACAAGTTACTCCCTCCATGTAATAAAAATAGACTTATTTCTATTTTCATACGAATTAAAAAATGTATTTAATATAGTTATCAATATAGATTTTTTTTTTAACATTTTTAATAATAGACTCCTACATTAAATAATGATTGCACAACTGTGCAACATGTATATAATATAATTTACATAATGATCTACATACACATTATGTGATGAGATGTGATTGAATAGAATTTCTTCCAAAAAAAAAAAAAAAAACCGATATCTCCATCTCTCTTTTTGATACCTCATCTATCTGTATACAAAATATTATGTATACAAGTAACATTATTCATGATTTAAATAAAATTAATTTATATTTGTTGATAACAAGATACATTAAATACGGACGTATTAGAAAATTAACAAAATATCTATACTTTCAATAAGGAATGTAGCCTATAATTTGGAACAAACGAAAAGAAAAATCAATTCTATCTAGCAGGAAGGACTATAAAATTTGACGATCAAATTTCAACAAGCAAACATTCATGTATTAATGCAAGTGAGAATATAATAGTCTAACATTTCCTTATTGTTGTATTGTTAAATCTGCCAACCATTTCTACGTCCATCTGCTAATAGTTTTACAACAGTCGCTTTAAAAGAGGAAAAGTGAAGTAATAATACATTACAGAAAGGGATTAGTAACCTTTCATGTAGAAATACAACATTCATCACCAACTCCATTGTTGATCTTTATGGTCTTCCATCTCCTGTAAATCTTTCTTCGTTCAAAGTCACTTTGCTTTCAGAATGTGGCGTCAAGTGAAGCCTCCACCTGGTCGGCCTGGCCACGCTCGATCATCAAGTTTTTGGTTGAAGGCAATCCTGCAGTTACATCTTCTTCAATGCCACACTCATTTGTACCTCTTCTGATCTTGAAATATCCATCCTGTAATTCGATAAATAGTCAAATTAATATCGACTTTTTTGGTAAGAATAGAACAAAGAAAGAAGAAGAATCATCTTGAGGATAGTGATGGTATGTTTATCCATGTTCTACTATAATATGAGAATGTGGTAATTATCACTTAATGTTAAGGTTTCATTTTTAGTTGCTAAAAGTTACTTTTCAAAGTCAACCAAACATTTCACAGGGCCCATATTATCCATTTATCCACCGCTCATTCATATCAACTCATAACAAAACTATAGAATATGGAATATTCAACTTTTTTGTAGCCTATAAATAACTTGGGAGAGAATCTCAAGGATTTAGCAGAATACATACATCACCCCAGCTTCTATTCCACTGATTTGCTAAAAGCTGCAAGAAATTGAGTAGAAAGTTAAATGTATTATCAGATATAAATTCAAAAGGAACCAGAAGCTACTAAGAGTCGACACTTCTTACCCAGTAATCCTCCCCATCATCGGTAGTTCCCCATCCTATAAGCTTCACAGCATGACCTCCCATCTCATCACCTGTCACATGCTTGTAAACTCCTGATTTGTAATGAGCAAAATCCTGTGGATGATGATACACAGCAGTGTAAAGGAAGCCGAAAAAATAAATTTCAAGACCCAAAGTTTAAGGTAATAAACAAAATTCATGTAAAGCCAGCGAAAGGGAATTTCCAAGAATAAGCAATCAGCTGACTTCTGAGCAGAAACGTCCACTACAGGAGTGAAAATCAATGGCTGCATTCAACGTGTTCTCAGAAGTAACGGGTACACTTTTCATGCTTAAACAAAAAGTTTATGTATTCCCTTATGAAATAAGCACTTATTAATGGTATCCTACAGTGCCATATCCTAATTTAGGTACCAATGAGAAAATGAACAGAATATAACACTTTAATTTTACCTCGTAGACAGTGAAAGCAACCTCAACTGGTCCATTCTTGTATACTTCTGCCATAATACTGTGTGGATCAGAACTGATTCTATAAGCATTGACACTGAAGTGCTTTGAACTTTCCCAAAGAAGGTTCTTTTTTACGCATCTTTTCTCACATACAGGTGTTGGGAATGCAGGCTCACAACCAGGGTGGGAACATCCACTATTATCGAAGTAAGGGTCACACTACAAGAAGAAAAAATACCTTGAGTGGTTGAACATGAATAAAGCAATATAATCGTGTAATTAATGGTATCATGGAGGATCTCAAACCATTTTAACTAATATAACTTGCATTCAATCCATTTTGACTAATATATCTTGTAATTAAACCATTCTGATTGACAATGAAATAAATACTACCTCATCGGTGACAACACCACTCTGGACAAAGTATCGCCATGCTGAAATGGGGTAACCACCATCACAGCCGTCACCACACATAAAGCCACAGCATGCCAGGAGATCATTGACAGATAGAGAAATATTCTGCAAAATGATCATTTACATGTATACAAGCACATATACAGATATACAGACATGTAGAAGTGAAGCTTTGAAACAGAAGTATGAATTTACCATGCCAAACTTAATACAGAAGCGGTCAGAGAGCGACTCAACTGCACCAAAAGCCCAACAAGAACCACAATGTCCCTGATAAATAGAAAACCAGATTAGTTGAGAATCTCACCGACCATTAAAACTTTGAATAGCGAAAATGTTAGGATGAGTACAGAATCAAGTTACCTGATCTTTGATGTGATGAAAACAAAAACAAAAACAAAAACAAAAAAAAAAAAATAGAAGGAAAGAAAATGATTAGTGTCTATCCAATGGAAACATAACCCATAACGACTAAGGAATTAACTGACCAAGTATTCTTCCAATGGTACTACAGTGAGGCCAAGCAGTTCGCGCATCAAACTCTTTGGGCAACTTAAGACTTTTTGCATGAGTTACAACAGAAATGCTCTTCACGTCACCCTCTGGCATTGGTTTCACTCCAAGAAGGTGCTTAAATTCGGCAACCTGGGATTATTTAGTATTTCCCCCCGGGCAGGGGCAACAAAAGCTCAGAATAAAGCTAAAGACGGCCAATTCTCATGAAATATTAAGTATTGTCCACCAAGAAAACTTACTGTGTGGTTTGAAAATCGAGGGTTCATGGCAGCTCTCCATCCAGCTTCAGCATTTCCATTGATTAATTTAACAACTGACTCCTGCATGGCAATTATGATAGTTATCTTCTGTAGCTGAATCTAGATTCTAATGGCAAAGATCTGTTGTCTTCATGAAGCAGAAGAATACCTGAAGAATTTCTTTGTCAAGTTTCAGCTGAGGAATAGGCTTCACTGCAATGACCTGAAGAAAAAAGGTTGGAGTGAGTTGAAAAGACCATAACCATAACAGGAGGCCTATCCTGCTCCCACCTATAATCATCTTGTTATATATGCAAATAAAATATAGGAATAGAAATAACCTTTTCGGAGAAAAAAAGACTAATTAAAGCATAGGCAAAAACACTCACAATTTCCAATTTGTGGAATATATTACGACCTTTAGTAATTCTTGAGGAAAAAATAAGAACATTATTTCTTCTTCCTTCTTGTATTCGATTTCACCAAATAAAAATGGACCACTTAAATTTAATGAATGATTACTCGTTTAAAAAACAAAAAAAAAAAAAAATATATATATATATATATATATATATATATATCCTTTCTGTTTTTCTCCAACTGCAATAACTAGGAATGCTAATGATAACAATGATCTATATAATAAGGCTGCATGGCACAATATCATCGTACTTAAATGCATTATTAACCACACTGATTGAAAAGGGGTACGAATGTTGTAGATTTGTGTACCAATGAGACTGAGAAGATTAATAAAAGACCCTAAGTAGCAAAGCCTTTATTAATTTTCTCATACTCATCTGTTAAATAATATTTAATTACTTTTATTTTATATTGTCAAGTTGCAAATAGTTAATAACCAATATCTAATTATAGTTATTAAATAGTAAAAATGAATAAACTTTCACAATTGGAAGGGAAGATCCAAAGGCCCCAGCGAATTCTTAATGGAATTAGAGGATCTTTTGTAGTTTTTGAGTGATTCTTTTATCAAATTGTGATATTTTATTACCATGTTGAATGGACACATTCTAGAGAAAAATTGGATGATGACAAAATTATCAACAAATAGAATCCAGTATTTCTATTCAACAACGTATGAATAGTTCCTTGATTTTGGTTAAGAGATTGTTGAATTCTTGCCTTGGAATATAAATGGATAGAAATGGACTAATATTGGTGAAAATCAGAGAGAAATTTTGAACATGATGAATTATGCCTCTTTCAAATATACGAAATCGCTTGTGCTACATGAATATAATAGGTTTACAAAATGGTTTACATACGCATGACGTGGAGATGTATGAACTTCCCCACTCTTTTTTTGACATCTCATCTGTATATAAACCATTAGATAACTATTTATATACAAGTAGCATTATTCAGAGGATTTCCCTAAGTCAATTCTTAGGAAATGTCAAATAAAACTATTTGTCCTTATCAAAAAAGGAAGCATGGGTCTTTTCCGGAAAAACTGTTTTTGTCTTGGTCATAATTTAATGCTAAATAAGTCCGAACAAATTGAGTATTTGTATCAGAATTTCCTTGAATTGGTTTGTCATTTCACAAAGTTGTGGAGGACAATGCTGAGGTTGTTGATGTGGCTTTCATTTCATCGAATTTCGCTAGCTCCTATTCGAAAAAGATGACCGTCTTTCGTTTCATTTTCCACTGTTGGAGAGTTATAATCGACAACTCAAAGTTGTACATTATCCTTCCCTATAAGTACAACAGACTTGGAAAAAAAAAAAAAAAAAGTGTTGCTAAATTTATACGGTCTGTTGGGAGAATTATTGCTATGTGGAGGCAAGTTCCTTGAGACGAGATTAGAAAATCATAGCTCATTACAATGTGGAGTTTATTCATATTTGTAACTGGCCGATTTTTTTTATGACTATATAGAAGTTATTCCTACAAGTATATCATTATCATAGAGAGATCTTATAGTACTTGTATGACCATATCAACAAAAGCTTTAAAAGTAAAGGAGAACATGCAAACTAGTCCTTCAGGTCCAGGGACGGATAGGCCCGATGAATTTTTAGTGTGTGTGTATATATATATATATATATATATATATATTTTTTTTTTTTTTTTGGTCTCCAGGCAAGTTTTATGCTCTGTTTTGAAGACAAATGGGAGTGAAGCTTGTCTGAGATAGCACTGTTAATTCTACATCTCAACCTCTCAATTCTCAAAGATTTAGTGATTGTTTAGTTGAAATCGTCTCCTCAGCATCGACACAAACAATCATCTGCTCGAACTGCTAATTTTTTATTGGAATAATGTATACTCTTTCTTATTCGTTGTAGGTTACTTATTCAGGCCGATACTTGTATAAATCTAATATGCAAAAAGAAAACCACACGATCGGACAAAGGAAAGATGATCGATCCAAAATCCCAACCACTTAAGCAACCATATAAATCAAATACAAGTACTAATTGCGATGAATTCAATCAGAGCGAACCTGTGGCTGAAAAGTGGAAATAAGCAGTAGAACCAAATAGCAAATCCCAATTGCTGCACCCATTTCCCCCTTCCTTTCTTCCCAGCTTGCTTCTTCCAGATGAGAATGTTGAAATTCAGCTGCAAAACAAAGACTTTTATAAGAGACGACGGATACGGAATCTCAATTATTGACATCTGCTGACGTCATTAGAATCGAAAAGGATAACACCTGATTGGCTCACGACTGGAGACGATTTTAAATATTTAATGCCTGTCTAGTAAAGATTTGGGTAATTGATTTTTTGATAGTTAAATATAAAGTGGGTCCTATTTATGAGAAAAAAATTCAAAAATGACGACGGTGAGAATGAAATAGCACTGAAAATTTTAATTATAATTGACTTTTTAACTGTACCAAACAAACTCTTAGATAATCCGACTCAGACCGGTTTGCAATAGCAACAAAGAAGTCCTTGTTTCATATCCATTAAAAAGAGTTTATTGAGAAGAAAAAAAAAAATTGGAAATTTTGTAGTTAAAAAATAGAAAAAATTTTGAATTTACAAGTAAAGCGCGATTAAAAATGAGTTTAATAAGAATAGTTTTTGAAAATTGTTAGACAAATAGGGACGAAGAACCACGCAAAGGGAAAAGTATAACTACTTTTTAAGTTACTCTTCCTAAGGTGGGTTTTAAACCAAGAGAAAGACTATTTGTATATTATAGTGTACATAATAATGACATAGAAGATAAAGAAAGATTATAATAATTAATAACTGAGTTTCTTTTATTTCCGCTTCTTTTTTCTCTCTCCCTCTCTTCATGTTATCTATACGTACATCATTATGCACACATTGATTTATATATAGCATTACTCAAAATTGATAGATCAAATATATTTATAGTACAAGTGTCTGGTGATGAGAAGAAAAAAAGAAGCAAAGACAAACAAAAGAGACGGAGAAAAGGAGTTCGTGTGAAATTCCCAATAGTTGTTATGGCTTATATCTAGTCAGCATTCTTGATAATCTTCTCTTCGCAGTATCACTTAGAGCATCTACAATGCATTTCGTGAATTGCAGTTTGTGTAGCATTTAAATTGACGAAATTATTGACATGATATTGATATTTGGTGATAGACTGTCAAGTCTAAAATTGGTTTCCAATTGATTCAATCTATATTTTACTATTTTCGTATATTAACATGAATATAAATATAATAAAATTTGGTAGAAGAGAAAAGAAAACTAATATTCTAAAAATAGAATAATTAAATTGTTGATTCAGCAAGTTTAACAAAGCCTATATATTTAGAATTCTGTATAAACATTGTTTATTTTTTTTGTCTACCACATCATTTTGATTGAATCTTTGTCAGCTTGCGTTGATAAGTTTTTTTAAAACATAGTTTACATTTATTTATGTGGCCGATTTTTTTAAGCATCTCACATTGCATTTTACTATTTTATTAAAAACGAAGTTATATGATGAGATTCCTCAATATGGAACAAGTTAGAAATTGACTCAATTGTGGAACTATTAGCCGGAACCGTAAGCCCCTGATTAACATTTTTTTTTTAATAAGATTATAAATTGATCAAACTTAGCTTTTAACTGTACATTTTCTAATGTCCACAACTTTTATTCACCTTTTTAATAACAAATATTATGAAACACGTTAAATTATAATTTTCAAAAGCTTTGTTAAACAAGAACCTAGTTCAATTATACATAGAGTGTAATGTTATTTAAAGCTACGGTGTTTAACTACAATTTAGATGACAACACTAATAATATTAAATTTCAGGTTCAATTTAATACAAGAAATTATGACCTAAGACTTGTAATGTACTGACATCTAGATGATGTTCAACATTATTGTGTTAAATAACATTATTCATACATAAATATTGTATCGAAGTGATGATTATATATTATCAAAATGCTAAATAAGTCAATCACTCGATGATTTATCCTAAGAAGATATTTACTAATATCATTACACAAGACAAAAACATGTAAGAATTATAACCTCGTGCCTCCCGGGGCACAGCTCAACTGGTGGATCAATCAACATTGTCTTGCTTCCAGCGGCAGGGTGGAGAGTTCGATTTCTGGTGGAAACCTGCGGCCAAAAATTTGGTATGGAGTAATCACTGTGGAGGAAGGTCTCTTGTGCGCAGAAATGTACAGGCAATGGGGGGAACCTGTGATCCAGTTGAGGCATAATCCGCGATTTAACTTCTCCAAAGTTCTAGAGGCAAGGATTTTGAGGGTTCAGGATTTAGTTTGGTGTAAGTTGGGATACCTGAATATCAAAAAAATAAATAACAAAAAGAATTATAACCTCGCTCATAAACCAACAACCAAAAATAGCGTTTCAATTTTCAACAAACACACTTTTCCAAACAAAAAGTAGGACCCATGAATTTCCTTATCAATTACACACTGATTAAAAAAAAAAGTCAAACTGATGAGCACACAAGTGGACAACTCTTACCATTGTGGTATTGAACCTAACTTGCAAAGAGTCATGCTATAGGTAGATTCATTATCGACAATAATGTTTAACATCTATTTGACAACATCATATTCACTTATTTTAAATATTACTTTTACATCAAAGGCTCGAATTTTGAAAACACATAATTATCAACCATATTTGTACAACTAGCTTTGTGGAACTCGCAAATCACAAGTTGTCCAGTCCTTCAAATAATCCAAATCTTCCTCTACCGTCTTCTATAAACTTTCTAGAATTAAACATGCCATTCTCTGACTGGGGAATCTCATCGTATCAAGTCGACACAAGTGTGAGACTTTGGAATCAAACCTTGAACATTAACTACTATTGCCGAACATCAATCGAGCTGTTTTTTTTAATCAAGTAAAATTGACATAATGCACACCACTCACGTTTTATCAAGCCATGAAGAAATCACAACAATCCTTTCGTTCGATAGGTTTGTAAACAATTTCCTTTTTCCTTTCAGTCAGTCCAAGAGTTCAGTTCAAACACCAACATAATAAAATTTAACTACAATTTCAGGTCAATTTTTTGAGAAACAAAAATGTTAATCTAACTTTAAATGCAATCTGAATTTTATTGATTAATTACATAAGAGGAGGAAGTGATGCTACTAAAAGAAACTAGTCATCAGTAACTGCGATTTGTAATTGATATGTGATCGTGGCAAAAAAATTTGTACTATTGTAATCGTAACATAATTAATTAAATATAGGTCATAAAATTTATCAAAGATCACAAAATGTAATCATTTGATTTTTCAAAAAATTCCACCAGTTGTTATTTTTGAAATCTATTTTAAAATATTTTTAGTCACGTAATTTTTCCATTAAAAAATAAAATTTTAATTAAAAAATTACGTGACTACAAATATTTTAAAATAGAGATATATATATATATAATAAAGTCATTTTCACGTTTATCATAACTTTTTTTTATTTGTTAACCACATTTAAAAAAAAATCACTTTTAGAGAATAATTATTTTGTCAAAAGTGCTATGATAGGCAGAACTAACAAGTTAAGCAATATACATGCCACATTAAAATATTACTTCTTAAAATAAGAAGTACACGCTTGATATAAATAATCATACATAGAATTGGTAAACTATTGTTATGCCTAAAAATTGAGGCTCCAGAAGAAGTCCACACCTCAATCGAGGCTCAAGAGGCCTTGAAGCCGAAGCAATGTGTAAGTAACCGAGGCCTTGAAGTGGAAGCATTGTGTAAGTGGCCGAAGCACTCTGTACGTGACTGAGGTCCTGTAGGAAAGCACTGTGTAAGCGATTGAGGCCCTGAAACGAAAGCACTGTATAAATGGTCGAGGCTTTGAAGCTAAAGCATAATGTAAGTGGCCGAAGCCCACATTGCTCAAGCAGAAGCCTCCTAACCATAATGGAGCATCTTTCATATTCACTCCTTCCAAGAGATTTTTTACATAAAGTTCTTATTCGAATGATTGATGTGACTTTGTAATGAGTATAAATGTCTTGCCTTGCCTTGTCAATAGAATGACTATTATATGTAAGAACATTAAACGCGCCACATGCTAAGAAGTCAAAACAATGGCTAGGGTTAGATACTTTGGTTGAGGAGATGAAGCCACATGGCTCCTCATCCAATGGACACCATCTCATGAGTAACACTATAAATACCTCATTCTTGTATTATTTGGGGGAAGGGGAATGCAACTCTTAACACCAAAAACTACTCTTTGTTTTCTCTCTAGTTGATGATACACTTGCTTAACTTGAATTTAGAATACTTTGATATCTTAGAGTTGTTTATCGGTTATTAATTACTATACAATTGTTTCTGAAATATATTACTGGAGTCCGAACATATTTGCATTGTGTCATAAAGCTTCTTCCACGTCCAAACTCGGAGCATTGTCAGCTAGCAACCCGTACATACGAGTTGGAATTTGTCTACGTGAACCTCAATGGAACCCGACACCTATTGGCACGTTTTTTTGGGTCAACAATAATCACTTTCATAGTGCTTAATATTTAGCCAAAATTGCTCAAAAACTCCTGGATTCTATAAGTTTTTGAGTGTCGATTGATAAATGATCATGAATTGCACTATCCTAGATTATGTGTTGATTAATAAAAGATCATGAATTGCATTCTAAAAAATCAATTACTGGAGGATTTTTTTTTTTCCATATAATATTGGGCCATTATCACGCGTTGTTAGGATACTGCACATGCTACATATACTTATCATCGAGTTACGTATGGACACTAAAGTCAAGCGAAATTGGCTGCTGTTAAACCTTGACCTACTGTGAGTTGATTTTTACCGGCCATTTTGTAATCGTGCAAATAAATAGGGTCTAGAAAGCTATAGAGATGAAAAATTAAAGATCAGCGCCTTAGGATCTTTAATGAAGCATTGATATTCCATATTGCCGATCAAGTTTTTCCTTCCTGGCCAGCAAGTTCAGGCACCCTGAATAAAAATGGAAAAATGTTAATTAAAGAATCCCATATTCAAAATGGAGTGGGAAAGGGAATGATCTAAGGTAGTGTTTGATTGGAACCAATTCCATGGAAAATGGAATTAGTTTTCCATCTTTTACTCAATTAACGGTGCTTTATACCATTTATTTTCCATGAAATTGATTTTCTTGCTTTTGTTACCACATGGATATTTTCCAT